TTTTCCTTTAGATCAGTCTTGATATGTGCAAAATTCTTGGTCGAATAGCTTTGAGGTTTCTGAACCAAAGTCTGAAGAAGAGCTGCTTTTTCCATTTGTCATCCTCTTAGAAGCAGGTTCCCTTTAGAATGATGACCTTTCTGAACCTTCAGATATTTATAGTAAGGGGCTCTGTTTGAGACAAAGTAAGAGAATGGTCTAAATCCTTAAAAACATGCAGTAAACCAGTCTTTTTTTAGATTTACTAAATTAGTAGAGGAAGAGTGAGGCAAGATGACAGCATGACAAGACGCATGCAAGACACTACAGGCAATTAAAAATGAGCTGAACTTCACTGTTCTGAAGGTCCTTCTGGACTGTTTCAGACACACATGCATAGGCATTTATATATATTTGAGCACGTGTGTATGTAGTTCCTTCCTGGGAATGGAAGGCAGACAGAATGGGAAGTGGAAGAGGGATAAGCAATTGTTGAAAGTTTCCTTTCCTTTGCCTGAACTATGACAGTTCTAGGGGCTGATGGGTTAGATGCTGAGCAGTTGTTTAGTTCATGATGGAAAACATTCACCACTCCCCTGCCTCCCTGTGTGTAGGCTCTGTAACCCTAATGCTGGAGTTAAAATTTTCTTGCTTTCTCCATGGCTGTGTAGCTACAACATCTGTTTCAGGGAGAGGCTACTTTCAAACATGTTCCACCTGCAGTGTTATCCCAAGTGGCAGCTGGACAGACATCCCAAGGAATACAAAGTGTGCAGAGCTGTATGTGCCTGTGTAAAGCAAGAACTTTCCACGCTGCGCTGGCTCCTTCACCCTGCGTGCTGCAGTGTGCCTTTACACACATTGTGGGATCCCTGTGAAGATTGGCATGTTTATCTACATGTGCATGTGCTATATATGTCTTAAAAAGAGCATTTGTTCTGGGCAGCTTTTCCTATTACTTCTTTGCCTTCATCCTCCATGCCTAGCTTGTTTCCTTCTCTCACCCTTCCACTATATTTCACATGTATTTAAAAGTAATACCTCCATGATTAATTGCCTTTTAGTGTTTACTGTCTTGTCCAAATAGATTTTTTTCCCTGCTGTATTTACAGATCACCTTCAGAAGAGCTAAATTGGTCACTTATGTAAAGTTATGCAACAGTGAAAAGATCCTTTACTAATTTTTTTTCCTGTTAGAGTGGTCAGGCACTGGAATAGGTTGCCCAGGGAGGTGGTGGAGTCACCATCCCTAGAAGTGTTAAAGAGGCATCTGGATCTGGCACTGGAGGATATGGTTTAGAGTTTAGGGATTACAGCAGAATGGCGGGTTAATGGTTGGACTCAATCTTAGAGGTCTCCTCCAACCTTGATGATTCTATGACCCTATGATTCTGTGATCTTTGCTAACTAGAAAAATTCTAAAAGATTTTAAAATTGAATTTTAAAATATTAGATACGCACCTTTGGTTTTTTCTTTCTTAAATAACAATCTGCCAAAGATCTCTGTCTGTAGAAGCTTCTATGCTGACCCATTTTGCCTTTATGTTGATTAAATTGGCAAAGGGAAGTCGCTTTATTGCCAGGTGCTGTGTAGGGTGCAGTGTCCCTTAGTAACTCCCACTTTGCTGCACTTAGGTGTCATTACTGTAGGTGTTGACTAAGACAGATGTGGTTTGGATTTGCTATGCCAGAGAAATGCCTCTGGCTTCTGGAGTTTTTTGATGTGTGATGTAGCTTGTGGCTGCCTTCAGGTGACTGATTTGATCCTGAATTGGGAAGCCTTGAAGTGACTTCAAGCTGACTGTACCTCTGAATGTCATTCAGAGCCAAGAGCTAACTGAAGTGTCTTTGCTGGCCTTTGTGCCAAATAACCCAGGTCTAAGCCTAGGGATGTAACACAGGTCCACACTGCAGTGAGATGTAGTTCCAGTAGTTCAAAATGTTTCAGTGGGTGACCCACAGTGACGGAGTCACATCTGTGAATTTTTGCAGGATCAAGTCGTGGATCTGTGGTAAGGGGTTAGAAATGTGGACAGCAGTTGTGAATTTTAAAATAGATTTAATTGCATCTTCTTATGTTTCATTGTTGGTCTCTGAAAGTTTTCCAGTGGCTTTTAGGGCCACTCCTAACATCAGACGTGATGAGATACTGGGTTTCAAAGTTTAGCTTTACCCAAAACCACGTAAGTGCTTTCTATCTGCCTCTCTTATTTAGCTAGAATCCAGTGCAAGGTCACAGATTTGAGAGTTTTGTAGCCTGGGAAGAGCTGTCTGTGAGATTCTAGTGCTGTAGCAGATGTGGAAGGATGGGGCTGTGCACCATGTGCCTGTCCTCTGTCAACTGATGGCTCTGTGGAGCTGAGTCCCCCTGCTGCTACATCCATGTCTGTAATATTGCTCTCCCTATTTCCTTACAATCTTTATAAATAAACAGGGAATATAGGGAACAGCTAAATAATAAATAAGAGGAATTGTATGTATCTTCAGATGGGAACCCTGGCCTGAGAGATAGTGCTGAATCAAGGGATGAAGAAACTAAAACCTATGGTTTTGTGGAGACCAAACATTTTATAACAACCACCTTGGCCTGGAGCCCAAAGTTGGACTGGTGACAGGGACTTGGGAAGAGGACACAGCACAGAAAGGAGAAGTGTTGGACTGAAGTAAGATACAAGCTGTCTAGAAAAACTAAAATAAAAAAGCTAAAGTTGTCTTGAAAAGCTAAAATAGAATTCAGGCTTTCTGACCTAAATCCACCAGTGAGTTAGGCTGCACCATGAGTCTGGAGGGTGCTTGCTTTCTTCTAGAAGAAAATGGGCCATCCTACCTGAGCACATCCATGCCATGGGATCAGATGGTGGTGGTATAATTCTGGTGGCAACAGTTTGGCAGCTTAAATTCCTAGCTTCTATCCTTACACAAATGGCAGAGATCTCACAGCAGTGATGAGCAAGGATATTTTAACTGGCAATATTGAGAGAGACAATTTATAGTCTATTGTGTGGATGCA